CAGTGGGCTTTAATTGAGATCTGATGTATTTAGTGGCACTGTATTCCGTCAGGTGAAGCTCAAGCTTTGAAATGTCATTATTCTGAGAATTGCTTAAGCATGTCTTGAATTGAATTACTTGTAGTTCGTATTTTAGCCTTCTAATTATTATCTAGCAGAGTTCAAATAGCTTATACTTTCATCAAAATTCAATCAACTTGTTTATTTATTAGCTGCTGTTACTTGTAAATGTTTCTCATGGTTTCAGTTGGGATAGAGTTAACTTTTTCACTAACAGCTCGTGTAGTGCTACATTTTGGATTTGGGGTGAGAAATAGTGTTTATAGAACACTGGTGTTTTTAGTTGTTGCTAGGCAGTCAAGGCCTTTTCTGCTCCTCATACTGCCCCACCAGCAAACAGGCTGGGGGCGGAGTTGGGGGTGACATGAGAATCTGGGAAGAGACCCAGCCAGGACAGCTGACCCCAACTGACCAAAGGGACATTCATTACCATGTGATGTCATGCTCAGTATATAAAGATGGGGGAAGAAGAAGAAAGGGAGAGGATGTTTGGAGTGATGGTGTTTATCTTCCCAAGTGATGGAGCCCTGCTTTCCTGGAGATGGCTGAACACCTGCCTGCCCATGGGAAGCAGTGAATGAATTCCTTGGTTTGCTTTGCTTGTGTGTGTGGCTTTTGCTTTACCTATTAAACTATCTTTATTTCAGCACACAAGTTCTCTCACTTTTATTCTTCCAATTTTCTTCCGCATCTCAATAGTGAGAAGTAAGCAAGCAGCTGCATGGTTCTAGCTGTTGGCTTGGATTAAACCACGATAACAGTCGGTCTCAATTCAATAACAATAATAGTGAGTACTGGCAATCCTATTCCAGTTTTTCTCACAAAGTGCAAATTATTTAATTTCCCTAACTTATAAATTTGCTTTTCTGTTTCTTTAGTTCCCTGATTTGCAATCATTAAGTCCATTAAGTAATTTCTAACAAATACATCACATTTTCTGTGACTTCTGGCCTTAGAGAGATCTGGATAGAGTAGAGAGCTGGGCAATCACCAACTGTATGAAGTTTAACAGAGCAAGTGCAGGACTATCTGTCTGTGAAGGGGTAATCCTGGTTACATGTACAAACTGGGGGACATGAGGCTGGAGTGCAGTGCCACAGAAAGAGATCTGGGGGGTTGGGTTGGTGGCAAGTTGAGCATGAGTCAACCGTGTGCCCTGGCAGCCGAAAGGGCCAGCCACGCATAGCTATCCAGCACAGCATAGCTAGAGGGTCAAAGGAGGTGATTGTCCCACTTGAAATTGCACAGGTGTGGCCCCACCCCGCGTACTGTGTGCAGTTTTGAGTGCCTCAATATAAGAAGGACCTTAAAGTATCTGAGCGTATCCAGAGTAGGGTGACCAAGATGGTGAGAGACCTCGAGGGCAAGACTTACGAGGAGTGACTGAGGTCACTTGGTTTGTTCAGCTTAGAGAAGAGAAGGCTGAGGAGTGGCTGAGGTCACTTGGTTTGTTCAGCTTAGAGAAGAGAAGGCTGAGGGGTGACCTCATCACAGTTGACAGATTCCTCAAGGCGGGCAGCAGAGGGGGAGGTGCTGATTTCCTCTCTCTGGTGGTCATCGATAGACAAGAGGAAATGCAATGAGGTTGCATCAGGGGAAGTTCAGATTGGACATTAGGAAAAGGTTCTTCACTGAGAGGGCGGTCAGTCACTGGAACAGGTTCCCCATGGAAGCGGTCACAATATCAAGCCTGTCAGAGTTCAAGGATGGTCTGGATGATGCTCTTAGTCATATGGTTTAGTTTTAGATAGACCTGTGAGGAGCAGGGAGTTGGACTTGGTGATCCTTATGGGTCCCTTCCAACTTGAGATATTCTATGATTTTATGATTCATACATATGCTGTGCTGCCCCTAGGATTTCTTCCCTGGGCAGTTAGGCAGATTATTACCACTTTTATGTCTGTCCTGTGTCTACATTACAGCATCTTATTACTTTCTTCCAGTTGCAACAACTTATTATTAAATATTTGTTTTATAAAACAACTAAGATCTTGACAGCTTTCAAAATCCTGAACATTGTTTTAACCCATACCCTGCTGTCCTACCTCCCAGTTCAGCTATGGTTTAGATTAAATATCTATATCAATATCACTGAAAACTTGAACCAACTGAAGAACAAAGTGCTAGTTTGATCCAAATCTGCACTCTCAACTTTGTGCTAAAATTTTTGCAAAAATTCAACAGCTAAGCAGGAAAACAGAGGACATATCCTGGTGCTTGTCTATAACTAGTTTCTAAGTGGCTAGCCCTCTTTCTTCCTCTGTTCTTATGTATCTGTAGCTTGTATGCCATGATGCAATTTTTGGAATAGCAAGTTAATATATCTTAGTATTGTATTACAACAGATTATTAATAGAACTTGGTGTTATATTAAGTTCTTGTGAAAGCTGTAAAAAAACTAAACAGTCCACATTTTATTGATTAAAAATGGCTCAATAACACAAAACAAATAAAGGTTTACGCCATTGTAAGTTTATACATTTATACAACTGTCATTCTCTGTTTCAATATATATTGCCCGCCTCTCCTACTGACAAGCATTATTCTGGAATGATTTTCTTCTTTTCCTATAATTTTGCTACATATTCTACATTCCTTGATACTGATGAAACAAATTTTATTTCTTCTATTTCTATTAATTTATGCACACACACACACAAATCCACATATTCTTCTGGGCCAAGAATGAGAATAAATAGTTTGCAGTCTAATTCCTGTATATGAATTATCAAGCAAGTCTAGGTAACAGACACAGATAACATCTCCCAGCTGCTACCAACCAACAAACTCCAAACACCAAACTGCTGTGACTCACTTGAGGCCCAAATGGTGAGTTTTTGAGCACAACATCTTGCACAGGGACTCACCACCTTGATAGTAGAGTATCCTGTTAACATGGAGAAGTTGCAACTTTAGAACATGAGTCTCTCATTAGCACACAAAACTTCTAATGTTAAAAATATAATCGTATTTACTCCTGTTGAGCTGAGTTTATATTCTGGTCAAGAGGTCATTTGGCCAGGACATCTGCCTCAGTTGCAGCTTCATAGTTGCCTTAGGCTATCAAAAGCAAGGAGTGCTTCAGAAGGGAACAGGTCTTACCTCCTCCATGCCCTCAGCTTGACTTTCTCACTTTTCCATACAGTAGGATTCACACTCATGAATCACATAACACGTGACTTGCATGTTCACAATGCCATAGAAGGTAGATCAAGGATCTGTCATGTGCAATGATTTATACTCCAGGGGGAGGATTATTTAGACAAGAACAGTATTCAAAACCTGGTGAGAAATGGGACAGGAAAAAAATTTGATTTTTGCTTCAGTTAAGCAAATATGCTGTTAATTATTATTATTACTTGTTACCCCTTTTAACTTGATTTAAAAATAACAAGGAAATTAAGCTTTTTCTTTCCTAATGTACGCTAGATATTCTGTGATTGGAATAAAAGTCTTCATCATGAGGGTGCGTCCTTTTTTTTTTTTGGAAAAGCTATTTCAGACTCTACACTGGACTGCAATAAAGTTGTTTGGTTTTTTTAATGGATGCCATGCCTGCTAGTAACATCACTGTCAACAGCCTTTCAAAACATCGTGAAAAGATATTAACATTTCCTTTTAAATGACAGCGAACTGAGGAAGTTGCAAATAAAAAAGTGTATGCATCCGTAGGGTTTTGCTAAGTTAAAAACAGAGCAAACATGGCTTAGGCTTTCTATACGTTTTTAGTTATAAGGGTTTACACACAAAAAGCATCCAAAAAGATATTGCCACAAAACACAAGTTAAACCTATGTGTCTTTAAATGTGTTTATGAGGGGTAAACACCCCAAAAGAACCACGCAAAGGCACTGTGCCATAGTCAGAGCACACAAAGATTCACCAATGCAATAATAAAATAATTTCATAATGCTGTTCTGGAAATGGGGAAGAAATGTAAACAAATTCATTCTTCCATAAAAAGGAGAAGTATTTGCAATTGTTTAAAATTTAGACAGAAAACCCAAGACATGGAAATAAGCCCTTTTTTTTTTGTTCTTTTAAAGGAAAATTTGTTTTGTAAACCATTTGTCTTGGAATCCTCTCTGTAGGCATCACATATCCATGTACGCATGTGAAAACACACAGAGTCACCGACTTCCATAGCCAAGCACTCTGACTGCAGTTTGGTGAATCTGTGGTACAGTCATCATATTGTAAAATCCTTTTACTGTTTTGAGATAGCAGAGGTCCCAGTATCAGCTCATTTTAAATCTTGGAAAAAAAACTCAGAATAGCAAAACCACTCAGTAAATTCTCTCCATCCTCATGCAAATACACATATTCTCCTTTCTTTCCCTTTGCAATGTCAATTCTGCAAATAGAAAAGATGAGTATTTTGGACCTACCCATTTCTATTTTATTTATTTATCAGGCTTGTTTAAACATAAACTGAATCAGAAAGTTATTGCTGCACTGAGTCAAGTCACTCTAATTTGCATGTAGGTTCCACAAAAGGAAGGTTGCTGCTCAGCTTTACTTTTATTTTATTTTATTTCATCACTTGGTTCAAGGAAAGGCAACATAATTAGCATCTGATATAGATACAGCCTTTTTGGAAGAGGTTGCCAAAATTCTCTTTAAGAATTGCTCAGGGTGGAAAAAGAACATCTACATGTAGGAGGAGACTTTCAGAGGAAAAAAGGCCATTGCCTTCCTAGCCCCGGCAAAACAATTCTATCACTTGGTGCTCATTTACCCTATGTCTTCTTCACATAACTGCAGGAAAATAATTGAATTTGGATGGAAAAAAACCCTAAAAAAATATTGAAAAACTGTGGGCGATATATTGAACTTTGTCATTTATTCCCATGCAACATGAAGATAACAGAACCTGGAAAAGAGCTGCAGAGGAACATCTCAGAAACATCCCTCGCGGCACAGCTTTGCATAAACATCTTCTCAAATGCAATCTGAAGCTTCCCAAGCACTACCAACGATCCGGTTACCTGAAGCGGTAGGCGATGGGACGTGGGTGACATAGGGATGGTGTTGAAATTTGGGTGGGTTGTCATTCACGTCGGCGACAGAGACGAGCACGCTGGTGGAACTGGAGAGAGCCCTGGGGAAGCCCCCATCGCTGGCCACCACCACCAAAGTGTAGTTCTCCCGAGCCTCTCGATCGAGGAGAGCGCTGGTGATGATTTGTCCCGTTGATGGATTGATTGTGAACTGCGAATTGCCACCGGTAAGCCTATAGCTGTTTGAAAGAAAAAAAAAGAAAAGCAAGGAAGAAAAATTTGATTAGTATGTCATAAGGCAGCCTGCTCCGTAAGATTATAACAAATTTCTATAGTTTTCAGACCACTGTGCTGATGGGTATCAACACACGGATTTTCCTCTGACTGTCCATCTGTCTTCACTTCTCTTCCATATTTTGAGACCTGTCGTAAATGACATGTCTGGGGATTTGCAAGCGTAGTTGCTTAACACAGGTAGATTTCTAGTAAGCAAGGAGCAGACTGAGCCTTTGTACATTTGGAGATACAGTCGGATATCCTCTCAAAATTGCCTGCCGGAGGCATCCTCTACCAATTTCCCTGGGCTGATGTATTAAGTGATATTCCAAAAGGCTGACATACCTCTTAACTGAATCCGCAGAATATAATTAGAAGAAATACTATTTTCTGTAATAAAAGGATGACAATTTTGCAAAACAATATGAGGGTTTATAATTCATATCGTTTACTGATACCAAGCTAAGTTTTGCTATTCGAGACTTCAATGTTAATTCACAGGAATTCATAGCAAACTGGTAACTAGCGAGCTATGTTAATAGAGACTAATTAGGACCAGAATTTGACCCTTGATTGGTGTGTATGTATGTGCACACATCCACGTCTGTGTGGAAAAATACGATTTGATAAAAACTGGGTGTGTGCTTACTGCAGTGTGTTGTAGGGGCTACCGCTGGCTTACGAGCCCAGTGAATTTGTCCTTTCTCTTTGAATGCTTGCCCAGCTTGAAGAACAGATCTCAAAAGATATGTGGAGCACTGGGCTGTATTTTTAAAGGTAATCAGTTAATATCACATTTTTTATTAATTCAGATAACGGGACTTCTACAAAACAAAGGGAAAAAAAATGGCTAAAATGAACAATTCCCACACTCATTTTTATAACCCTGACAAAACCCAACAGAGCTGTGATTAGCAGTGCTTCTTCAGAGACGCCTGGTATGGCACAGTAGCAGCTTTTCTGAAGTACACGATTCTATAAGTTTCAGAAGAAAATGGCTTTTCTGAAAGAGATTAATATTCCAATCATCACCTTTTTAAAAATCAAAACAGATTATGACAGAAATAATACCCCAGGCAGAAGCTTTACCTAGCAGACTCACAGCCAGCCTGTGTAATAAGCTGCGGCAGCTTCTCCTGTTCAGTCATTAATCTCTACAGAATGCCAGGAGCATACTTTAATTGCTTAATTATGATATAATATGATGGCCATATGTAATTATTCTCCAGCCACAGCAATGTGCACCCGGGGTGGAAAGAATGTGCACAAAGCCTAAAGCACCATTTAAATCTCCCTAAATACCAGCAGGACGGGCAAATTTCATCTGCAATTCCCAATGTTTTAACCCTTGAGGGTTAAAACCCTCACCCTGTGAGGTGTCGCAGAAGACAGGGACTTTCTCATCTGTACTTCCACATATACAGAATGTGGAAATAGAATGGCTCAAGCTTTAGCATTGGAAAGATGCTATGAAAACTTTAAAAAAAAAAAAAAAAGCACAAAAAAACCCCCAGAGAATAAAGACAAATTATATTTGCTATAGGATATTCTGAGTTATATCTGAGTCCAACTGCATGCAAACCAACTGGACAATCTAAGTGTGTCTCAGCATAGTTACAAAAAAATTCCAAATCCAAGCCAAAGGAAACCCCAAACCCCCAAAACTTTAATGGTGACAACTAGCATAAAAGGAATTTGACTGAAGCACTTAAAATCTGGTCTTTTGACTAGTCTGTGCTGACCCCTCTTATCTATATCACCTTTAACAAGACTGCTCAAGTCTACATTGCCATTAACAACCTCATCAGCCTCCTTTAATGACTTCACAGGTTATTGCCAGAAATAAGAGAAAGAGTCGGCGTGTACGGGTATGTAACAGTTTTGCAGAAGATTATCTACTTCTTGGATGACATGGTCCATTTTTTAACTTTATATGAAATTTTTAGCAGAGGATTTTACATACCATCTTTGGAGACCAAAGATTTGATTTTGAAACAGGCTCTAACAAGACTGAAAAGGAGTTCTGAGTGCTCAGCACCTCTGACAAGACAACCTTACGTGTTCCGGTCCCTCTGGCTTTTGCCAGTTTTGTAATACCAGTCATATTTTAAGATTTGCATTACTCTAAATGCTGAATCTGGACAAATTCTGTCCAAGAAAAACAAAGTACATTCCCGAGTCTAAAAAAAGTGTAAAATAAAACCTGAAAACAATTTTTAAATAGCTACTTACCAAGGAAAAAAATATTTTTATCAACTATTCTACTATGAGGTACTGAGTGATTGACAAAGACTAATGGCAAAGATATTAAAGCAATTCAACCACACTAAAGAAATCCGAGAGCACCCTGATAATTCCTGATTATGGGATGGAATCATTACAATCATTCATGCTTTGTATGGAATTTTTTTTTCTAAAGGAGCTTGCCAGAAATGGTTTCTTAGAGTGAGAGCGAATAGAATTAAAAGCTTCATTGTTTCACAATTTAATAAATGGTAATTTTGGATGCTGTTCAAATATTTAAAGATGCCAAAACATAAAGTTTCTATTTTTGGCTTGTAACTAGTTGGAAAGAAAATATTAGAGTATTTTATACACACTTGCTTTACCCTACAATAGATCTGTTTGATTTTAGTTCCTTTTTTTAAAAAAAAAATAAAATAAATGACAACCACAGTGATATTCTTACACACTTTGAAGAATGAACTGTGGTGAACTAACAAAAGTAAATGAAGAAGCTACTTTTATATCCTGTTTTGTAAAGTTTGGAAACAGAGATACAAGAATTTGCAGTCACAACAGTTGAATGAGATGAGATTACCTACATGTCCTTCCAATTAATGGCTAGTAGGAATCTGCTTTTTATTCCATCTGCAATAAATCAGTCCTCGGTGGATAATCTTCAGCTTGTCACTGCCACGTAGCACCTTCATTACTCTTGTCTGTGTAACTGGGAATGGCCAGTGTTCAGCCCAGCGCCCAGTTAACCTGCATCAACTGATGCAACTAAAGCAAAAATGCCGAATTCCAACTTTTTACTGGTTTTCCGAACGGGATAAACTTTACACCTTGCCTCGAGTAGTTTTCATTCTAAACTGAAGACATTAACTGACCATAAATTTACCCGAGGAAGATGTTGGCTGTCAGCGAACGTTGGTGACCACGTCAAAAGATGTGAATGCAGCAGCAGGGCAGGTCGTGGTTTCTGTTGACCACTCAGCGGTCTCTCCCGTAGCACGTGTATTCGCGTGTCAGGTGATATTGTACCTGCTCTGCGAGTTTAGTATAAACGCACCCAAGTCTGCATAAGCAGTCATCTAAACTACAGTGAGGTATGAAAAGCCATTCAAGGTTCAAAATAATATACTGAAGCCTTCCCCAAACATATCTATCCTATCACAAAAGTAACACAACCCACTAGTTGGGATGTTTTTATGCGAAAAAAGTGATACTGGTTTCTAGACTTGCTGAGCTTAAAAATTAAAATTTAACTATGTCTAGAGCTGCAAAATACGTTCCGTACTTTTTTTAAGCTGAGTGGCTTCATATGAACATTAAGTGAAAAAAAAATTATTTAACTCTGCCTCAAAGTCAGCTTTTGTAGCAAATTTGTTAATGATGTTTGAAAAGCACATCTTCCTCTTCCCCAACAAGCCCTTCCTGAAAGCTCCTTTGATTAATATTTCAGAAGTCTGTCAGCCTCCAAGAACAATGGTTTCTAGCTTCTTCAGGAATACACTTTTAAAGATTTGTATTATGTCTATTAACAATACCCTCATTACAATGCCTCAATTCTAAAAGCTATGCAAAATAGAAGGCAAAAGCCATTCCAAAGGCTACACAAGCTGATGGCAGTCAGTAATGACTATCATTCACAGCTTATATTGTATTTCTTTCTGCAGAGAATGTATATATAAAGACTGCAAGCTTAAGTCCTTAATCCATTTATGATATTATTTGAAGTTTCAGGGTTTCTTTGTTTTTTATTGTTGTAATTCATCTACCTCTACACTTACCGAGAAATATCAGCCTAGCCTATTAACAATTACTCTTCAGGTGCAAGTTAAACTCGTCGTCTTTTCACTTAGTAAGAAACTAAAATAACACTGCGACTCTATTTGTCCTTAATATAATTCTAAAGGACTATAAACAACAACAAAAAAAAGTGCCAGATTTGCCAAAATAATTTAGCTACACATACACAGCTGTCCTTTTGTATCTTACAGCTTTATGGCATGTTGGTGATGGACACTGGGAATAAAATCTTCAGGCAAAGTATGAGGCACTATTATATACCGCAACAGTGAACGACCTACCTAATAACAGCATTTGTAGAAGCATCAGCATCTGAGGAGTTTACGAGCAAAATATCTGTCCCCGTAGGTGCGTCCTCCGGAACCGTGGCAGAATAGACGTTAAAAGCGAATGTGGGGACATTGTCATTGACATCATCCACCGTGACAGCAATGGTTCCAGTGCCAGTGAGGGCAGGAGACCCTGCGGGAAAGTGGGATACAAAATGCTAGAGGTTACAAATACCACCATGCTAATTCGAGGTCTGCCATCCCCGATTTAAAGCCTAGCGCTTGAGCATGTCACAGTTCACAGAACAAGAAAGCCAACTCAACATGCAGGACAGGGTCAGATTTGTTCCAAAGGCATCTCGACATAAAGTACAAGTTGTGAAAGAAAAAAAAAAAGAAAAAAAAAAAGAAAATTGTTGTTTTTCTTGCTCCATCTAATTCCAGAAATATTTTGTAATACAAGCTCAGTGGAAAAAGATGGTCTTGGAACCACTCAGAAGCCTTCCTGTAACAATTAGGACCAATTTGAACATGTGGTTGACTTTCCTGTTTCTCTAAGAGAAGATGTTCAAAGGTGGCACACTGACAGCCGTGAAAACTCCAGCCCTCAATTTATTTATCCACAGAACAAATAGAGTGGAAACAGTGACAAACCCCAGCTTTCCCCACGGCTTTTCCACTGCCGGTCACACCGCTGACCTGGGGAGACCTTCTCTGAGTGGGTGAGAAGGCTGCACAGTCTCCAGCCTCATTGAGACTCAATTTCTCCGTAGATGCAACCATCTATAGCAGCAAATAATGCTCACTCGGATGAGATATTGGCTTACGGGAAATCAGACTGAATTTATTTAACCTACGGCTTTCATCCGCCTTGTTATTCTAAGACTTAACTCTGATGAGCAGAAATGAGTGAGAAATAGCATGTTTATTCAAGTGCAATTTCTCAGTATTTATTCTCTTAAGCTTTTCCTTTGTCAAATCCAAAAAAAAGACAAAGAAGAGTTTTACAAGCTCATGTTAGTTTTGCCAGTCTATTACACTTCTCTTCAGCCAAGAATCAGCAAGACCTCTTCTGCTAACCAAGTTCCTGACTGAGGGTCCCTGACCAAAATGGGATTGTTCCTTTTTTGAAAACATAAGCAAAAAGGAGAAGGAAACAGTGATAGTGGAGCACAGAACACGTGAGTTATGGCCCCTTTTACTCAAAAGACAGGTGATGACAATGGTTGTTTTCCCCAAGATTGCATCGCTGTCCCCTTCAACCTCAAACAGAGACAACAATTCACCATTTGCTGGACTGGGAAAAAAGCAATGATAATGAAATAGTTTGGGCCAGAGACTGGTTTAAGTCCTTACTGCAAGGCAAGCATATTACACGGAGCTGTCATTTGACGGAAGCCAGGCAGCTCTCGCATGACTGCCCTCGTCCTTCCATCCCAGCAGATGATCGGGTCGCTGCTACCCGAGGTTACTGATGGACCTCAACCGTAGGGCTGGGAAGGAGGAAGGCTCTGCTCTTGGGTCTCATGTAGTCCTGGCAAGGGCTCCAGGCATTGAGCTCTTGTAGAAAAGGAGAAATAATGACCCATTTTCCCACACGTTAACCCTTTCAGGCTGAAGCATCACCACACTGCATTGTGCGAAGAAGCTGGGAGCAGCTTCTGTGTGGGAAGGAGGTCCTTCCCCGCAAAAGACTTCAGAGTAACTTGGCTTAATGCACCAACGGACTGAACGAAAGAGCTTCCAATTGAAAGGCGCTGTAAATCTCGCACAGCTGACTTTGAAGCCCGCTGATCGGACGGGGCGGATCACGATGCCGAGGAAAGAACACGCAAGCCAAAGAGTATAGGTTTCATGCCACGGCCGCGCACAATGGAGGCCTTTCTCTGCTCTAGTCTGAGGTAATTCATTTTGCCAATTAATATACTTTCAGCCAGGAAGGTTACACTAACGCAATAACTCTGACTCATTTTTTACCCTTTTCCTTCTTCTCTCACACCCACCCCACCCAATTTTGTCATTTAGCCAAGCACATATAGATAGAAAAGACTGCAAAAGCATTCTCCATTGCTGAAATATTGCCTGTGGAGTGTTTATTATTACTGCATTAAATGAAATGGAGTCCTCAGTGGTGTTTGCTGCATGTGTCATCAAGTTCTGGCCTTCCAAACACATTTAATTGACATTCATCTCGCAGCTAATGAAATGAAAAGTTGAAAGTTGTTAAGTTTCACAGGTGATTAAACAATTTATACATCATTCAGAAATTAATCTTGGGTAAGTCACATTCAAAGAGCATCAGTAATGCAATTCAGTCTGGAAAAGAAAGGTAACTCGCATCTAAAAGCCGAAAACCATTGTTTCAAATGCATCTGCTAACACAAAGAGCTGACACTGGAAAATTCATGCTGTCGGCTTATTCACAAAAATCATAGAATCATAGAATGGTTTAAGTTGGAAGAGATCTTAAAGATGATTGAGTTGCAACCCCCCTGCCGTAGGCAGGGACACCTCGCACTAGACCAGGGTGCTCCAAGCCCCATCCAACCTGGTCCTGAACACCTCCAGGGATGGGGCATCCACAACTTCCCTTAGCAACCTGTTCCATTGTCTCACCACCCTCATAGTGAAAAATTTGTTCCTAGCATCCAATTTAAATCTACCCTCTTCCAGTTTGAAGCCATTACCCCTTGTCCAATCACTACATGCCCTTGTAAAAACTCCCTGTCCAGCCTTTCTGTAGGCACCCTTCAGATACTGGAAAGCTGCTATAAGGTCTCCCTGGAGTCTTCTCGAGCCTTCTCTTCTCCAGGCTGAACAGCCCCAACTCTCTCAGCCTGTCCTCGCAGGAGAGGTGCTCCAGCCCTCGGATCATCTTTGTGGCCCTCCTCTGGACCCGCTCCAACAGGTCCATGTCCTTCTTACGCTGGGGGCTCCAGAGCTGAACGCAGTACTGCAGGTGGGGTCAAAAGGGATGCCAGATGTAATAGGCTGTGGATATTCTCCTGCTCAGGATTACACTGACAGCAGCAGCTTTTGACTCTGCCATTTGGCTCCAACCAGCCCCCTTTCCCCTCTAAGGAATCCAAATTCACAGGGTACCAAACAAAGGCTCTGAGGGTCAAATCCCAGCCCTCGCCTCAGCCCCCCAGATATTCCACGCTGTTACTCTCCGATTCCACTTCCCCACTGGATGCGTCGATAGGGCACCGTACAGCGCAGCGCGGACATATTTATATTAGCCTCGGAAAAGGGAATATACCAGCCAAGGTTGAACAGCATACTAATAAAATTAGCTAGGGTAATGTAAGTAACCCAGCCCTCATTCAGCGCTAGCTTGTGGCTGCGCTGTGCTCGCAGAAACATCCCAGAAGTCCAATATTAATTCAGCTGTTTGCAACAACCCAAGCCACTGCTCTTCAGTTCAAACCCCCAAATCTTTCTCATTTTACTGAGATGGAAAAACTCATGCATCTACATTGGTTTCCTGTCTGTGTAGTTATCCAAGTTTTTTTTTTTTCCTCTAAGTAAAACATCACGTCCACAAATCTATTCCTTTACTCTATTATGCTGAAAGATAAAGTTGCAGTTTCACAGAGAGTCCTCAAAGCTTTTATGCGCTTGAAATTAAACGACTAGCTCACATTTCTGCAGTTACTGAGAAATATAAGAAGAGGAAATCACAAATGAGGTAATTTTCTATGGAAAAGAAATAGCTCGGGGCCCAAATTCTACCGTCCTCAGTGAACCTTCAGTGAAAGTTGTGCTTGCATATGGACCACAGAATTTGGCCCCTGGTAATAAGTAGGCTTCGTAAAATGTACATGTCATATTTGTGGTGAGAGAAGTAGTTTCCATGGTCAGGCTGAGTTCCCAGATTTCTTAGTTTTGCTTCGATAGCAAATCTTCCCCAAGTCCGTTATTCTTATTATGCTAGAGCATCATCTCTTTTTTTCTTCAAACTGCACTTAATATTTTGCATAAATAAGTGTAGTAAATTTTGTGTAAATCCTGCAATATTAGCCACTCCAGATGCCCCCAAACTGTTTTAAATAAACCAGACATGTTACAACCTATATAAAATTGCTGCACACAGCCACACAAGCCTCTGCGTACTCTGACAAACAGCCCCAAGGGCCAGAGCCACAGAGAAACGTACGCTTTTCCCTTAATGAACTTCCACTAAAATTTCATTTTTCATAATAGTCTGAACTATTTTTTAGCAGAAGCAGCAACTATTTCTTTGTCAGCCAACTCTTATTTAACAGCACTTCTCTAGTGCTATAATACTACTAGTTTGTGTTTGTGGGTTTTTTTTCAAATCCTAAAATACGATGTCTCACAGAGGCTTAGGATATCCACGTTGAATAAAAGTTTTCTAGAAAGGCGGAGGAATGAAAGAACCATCAAATGATTAATAACTGGAGAACATAAAGTTAACTGTGTGAACTAAATGGGAGAGATCGGATTGACTGTTCAGTGAATATCAAATCTTTAAAATTTCAAAGACAATGACATTAATATATTATTATTATCATCATCATCATTATTTTGACTTTCCCATCTGTGTGTGCTGTGGTCTGTTTCTATGAACAGAACAGTTTATTTTCTAGGTGACAGCTGTACATATACATTAAGCAGACAGTCCCACAAATGTCCACACATCATTGTTGAAATAAAGATTAACCTGGGATAGTGTCAAAATAGGATTGCTGAGTTCAGGAAGAAAATTGCTTCCCACGGATGTTCTTCCAAAAATTTAAGCTTTTTGCTTACATCTGCAAGTAAACATGTGTCTGGGGACGAAGAGAAGGAGCAGACCTTGGGAGCCCACTCCTTGGAGGCCCGCAGTGGAGGACGAGTTACAGGGGGAGGTTACAAGAGGCCACCTCGGGCTTGGCCAGCCCTGGGCTGGGGCTCCGCTCTCTGCGTGGGACATTTGAGGAGGTGACATGAAGAAACAGCCGTGGGGGACCATGGGGCGGGCAGGCGGCAGCACGGGAGAAGGATGTCTCTTCTCCCAGCAGGGTGGGACTGGCAGAAACCTACAAGCTGGTCTTCCACCCCATTCACCAATGCCTGTTAGAGGCTGCTCGCCACAAAAATATGATGATATTGGAAATGTGTCAGCTGATAAGTTATAACAAGCTCTCTCAACTTTTTCCTCCCCCTATCCATGAGAAGGGGGAGGAA